TGATTTGCCTTGACTAACATACAGCGCAGCTTTCCTTGCAGTTGATAAGCATATACGATGGGTTTGAATTACAGTAACCTGCCGAAGCCCAGGCAGAGCAGTCTCCATCTTTCACCCAATTCTTACATCCTGTCAAAAAATGGAAAAGGCTGTGATAATAGATGGAAGTTAATATATTTAAACTCAGTCAACAGAGGCAACTTTCAATTCAAATATTCCTTTGGCTATAGGTAGTTCTTGCTTGATAAACTCTATTTGGAATAAATTATATTGGCGAGTAGATTATTATGAAGGATACATGAACCATCAATGTCAGTGAATTTGGTTTTTTAGAAAAGGAAGGTATGTTGCTAACACACATAAAAATAAAGAAAATGAAAGTTAACTTTCACTTACGGCACGATCGGCAGCAGTTATCAAGCATATAAGATGGATTTTTGCCACACTCGCCCTGTTCGGCCCACGATGGACAGCTAGGACTTAGGTCTTTACAAGCTGACCAATAAAAAGGAAAAAAAGCATTAACTATTGCTCAGAAATAGATTTTACTTAAGTATTGTGAAAAGAAACGAAAATGGGTCAAGATTATTGTCCAAGTGATCCAAACTGTTAGAAAGAAATAGCAAGTAATCCATGAAATGAATTATTAATTTTTTCAAGAATTGTCAAGTGCAGTTTACCTGTGGCGATTATCCATCTACTTTCATCCACACAACTTAAAAAAAAGCTTTATTTCATACTTTCAACATAGGCCACGCGGCTTCACCGCTTACACCAGCCCGCTCCTAGCCGGTATCTGGGGGGGAACTGGAAATCAGGCCTTTAGCCATTATTCAATTGCAGCTACATTTGAGGATAAAATGGCCATAACTGCTTGAAGTGACCACTGCTTTCTCTTCAGTCAGATGAATGGTGTTTTGACTGGAAATCACTGTTTATTGACTGAGGATTCTAAATACATGCAGAATCGAATTCGTGTCTACGATAAAGTCTCCTCTACGGAAAGTAAAAGTAGGATTTAGCTTTGTAATCGTCGATTGCTGGGTACTTTTAATATGTTTATTTGCGGCGCCTTTAAAAAAAATATTTGATATCAGAAGAGGAGCCATTCATTCGTCCTAAAAGCTTCAGTCAATCATTTTCCTTGATTTTTGTTTGATTGCTTGCTTGATTTTGGATTCCTTTTTTTCCGAGATCTAGTTAACAGAAATGTTTGAAAGATATATCTACAATACCTACCACACACTTTGCAGCTCAAAGCACAGGTTGCCAACATGAAATCAGAGTTCGTTTCACAATAAGCACGTGATGACCAGGTTGGACAACTGCTAGATTCATCTTTACATCCTAGAATTTTCAATTGATAAAATACTGCATGCTTTTACATGTTATGTATCGCGTAATGTGTGATGTGACAGTTGAAGGTCTTTCGAAATTTTTAACCTAAGAAATGGCTACTGAGGCTTCAAACCTTGGGAATTATTTGTATTATTGTGGTTATGTGTGGTAAACTGATCGGTAAGTTTGTGATTTTAGAAAACCTATTATGGTTGTTTTACCTGTAAGAGGGTAACTAGAATCCTGAGGGAGGTTCGAAAATATTATCTTAATGACTCATATCACGATTGGCTCGGATTGGTATTTTCCTCTATCAACTCTTTAACTTAACTTAATTTTGATCACGTGATTGACATAACCGAACACCTTTGATTTATTCATGGTTCATGGAAATGAAACATTACTGTCAATGTTGATCATTAACATCACCCCAAGTTTCCTAAGCAAAACTCCAGGCAGGGTCGTGTTCTCAACCAGGTGTGTGGAGGAGATGAAATCAAACACTGCTCACGTGTTTTTGATATTACTGCAAGTGTTGAGCGAGACAACAGAGACTCAGGGGAGGGAGGGGGGGCGTTGAAAGGGCAATGATAGATGCTTTAGGGCATTAATGAATGAAAACGAGAGCAAAATGGAGGGCAATAATTTCCATACTTACCGCAGACTCCACAGCTTTTCTTACAGTTATCCTTCATCCATGGATTAGTGTCACATTCACCTTGAATAGCCCATCTGGGGCAGTTGGTAACGTCGGAGTCCAGACAGCTAATCGCTGATAGAATCAAACACAACTGCATTTAGAATATATGAAACTGTTATTGTTACGTGTTCCTTGAATTTTTCCTGTTTAATTGTACATCCGACACGTAATATATATAATACATACGACATGAGTTACAGCTCTTTTTGCAAAAGTCCTTCATCCATTTTTCGTTGCTCTTACAGTCTCCTGCAGCGGCCCATTTAGGGCAGCCGCTATAATAGGTATCCTGACAACCTGGGAAAAAACAAGGTAAGATGTGCATTACAGCGCCAAAATGATAAAAGATAACACCAACTTCCCCATTTTCACGAATATATGCAGCTCTTAAATTTAATGTATCCCCCACCTCACCCCACCCCACCCCTCACAAACAAGCTGAGTGCCTTTAGCACATTACAGTTACGGCATTTTGTCTAGAGACCCGTATGGGCCCACACGGGCTTCTATTTAGAAGAAAGTTAAATAAAAAGGAACCAAGGAGACGACGAAGTGATTTTTTTATGTACTCTCTTTGTAAACGTGTCTACCAACCGCAGTGTCCAGGGTCGATGAACACATCATCAATTGCAGTATCAGAGTAACCAGTTCCACCAATACGAGCCTCAATTGTCAGCTGAAGAAAAGACAATAATTAATTTGGGTATCAAAGGACCTGAAGAGATAATGGGGGTGGCTTTCTGTTTTTCTCAGGAGGCTTCTGATGACGTGGTTCCAGAAGCTATTCAAATTATGGTGGGATTAGTCGATGGCATGTCTCAGATTTGCTACGTGATCGGATCACGCCCGAAAAGAGATTATTAGAAATAAAGAACAGATTCCTTTGTACAAGACACAACTTACCCTGTATCTCACACCTGCTTCTATGTCTTTCGTTACACCTTTCCAGCCCATTCCTTTATTGCCTTTTTCATAAAACAGGAGATACGACCTCTTGCCTTCCGGCTCAATACGCACCATCAGCTCACCCGTTGTGCTCCCATACATGTTATAATAGAATTTCAGACACTGGCCTCCAGACACTGGGTTCAGCCATGGACTTATCAGTTTAGCCTTTTCATTTGATTGAGCAGGAGCAGATGATTCGACATAGAGGTAAACGCCTCTGGACGTTCCTTTTCAATGAAAATAGAAAGATTGTTAATATTTGATATACGGCCTCATAATCGTACTTGATAACGCGGCCTTTTTGATTTGGCCAATTGCACGGTCATGAGAAAATGGATTGTTGGTTCCCAAGCTCACAGTTTTAAGTGTAATTCCTTTGCATCACACTAATTACATTCAGCCAAATAAATATCATTTCTTCGTCATCCGAAGATTTAAGAATTCCCACATTAATTCACTGATGCTGTTTCGCCTTTATTGTTTTTATCTAGCCTGCGCTTGGCTTTAGGTCAATGGAGAAGAGCAAAAAGCGCGCGAAAGATGGCCTCTCCATCAGAGACCGCAACTGCTACACGCCCGCCCGCTCTTTTCTTCGTCTTCACTTATAATCTACTTCTCTTACTAAGAAGTGGCTTATATTTACCAAGTGTGTGATCAGAGCTTGGTCCAGTGTTCAGTGTCTGTGTGTAGCCACTATGTCTCTGCCAGTTTAGTTTATCGTCATATGCATTTGTCCACATGCCCAAATTTGATTCGAAGTCAGTATCATCAAACTCTGTGAAACGGTGGTAACAAACATTTTCAGTAGAAGTATTACGGTTTTGAATTGCTTTAATGAAAATACACTGCATTGTGACCTGTGATCTCGGTACTAAAAGGTTCACGGAAAGTATCTTCCTGATTTGATGACGTTGACTAAAATATTAAATGACTCGTGGCCAACGATCAGACTGTCGATGGTCTGACAAGTTAATTACCACACGTAGATACGAATTTATCTTCGAATGTTGATGATGTCATTGCTGGTTTTATCATTCTCTTTAGAAGAAACGTGTCCTCAAGTGAACATTCAATCTTTTCATTTCTATAGACATAAAAATGAAGCAACTTCTGGAGAAGTAGTGTGTCCAACTAAGTAATGTTAGTAGCGTAAAGAAACTGGTTACGATAGGCAAGACGACCACGTTGATAAAGGTATAACTACATAAGCTTATTTCGGCATGTATTAAACAAAGTCAATAATATTTACCGAGAGTACATCTCCTCATGACGCACCCATCTGCCTCAGTTGACGATCCTGGGCAGTTTAGACCTCCCTGCACTGGCGCTGGATTATCACACTTTCGGTACCTCTTTCTATAACCATCACCGCAGGTTACGCTGCAGCTTGACCAGTCTGACCATCGACCCCAATGACCATCGATAGCTGTTCGAGATGCAGGGAAAATTTTACAGAGAGAATTGCTTTCCTGTAGTGATTGAGACACAGGTAATGTCTGTAATAGGCAAATTCTGTACGAGAGCCAAGTGCCCCGGGAGCTTCACTCGATTTCCATCGTGTGAAGCGACAATGAGTACTAATCCTCCTCCTTGGATTGGGATGCCAGTTCATCGCAAGCTTTTCCCAAGCAATTCATCAGGCTTCCCTGACAATTCGCAAGTACTCACTTATGTCCCTGGGCGGAGAGATGCATTGTGAAAGTAAAGTGTTCTGCCAAAGAACATAACGCAATGACCAGGTCAGGTCTTGAGCCCAGACCTCTCGACTCGGATTCCTAGCACTGTTCATTCGACCTCAGCGACCCACATTCAAAACAAGGGATGCTAAGAAAGAATTCATACGCAAAACACCCTACGATGTCTTTAAGAATACTATCAAGTAAAAGACAAATCATTTGTAAATATGTGTTAAAAAGCAGCACTGGAGATGGATAAAATTTAGTCGGCAAAATTGGGAAATATGAGCTATAGATTTTGTACATCCATACCATAACATTCTTTATCTGAGCATTTAGTGGTCTGCTTTTCGATGCCATAGATATTAGGTGATCCTTGACAGGACTGAAGGTTTCCGTTGTTATAACAATATCGCTCCCTACTCTTGTAACAGTTCTCATCGCATGGTGTATAGGCCGACCAGGACGACCAGCCTGGGTGGGTAGCTGAAATTCACAAAGCTCAGTTATCTCTAAAACTCAAAATCTTGTATTTTAGAAGATTCACTAGGACTGTTTGATACTTATCAAAGGGTAGGAGTGGAGAACTGTGATAAAAGGTTAAAATAAGAAATGATAAACTGCAGTGTATAATATCTTTGTTAAAGATAATATGCATCTATCGTCTTTAGGCATTAAGAAAATTGGTAATTTAAATATAATTCTTTCGGTGATTTCCGCCAGTTACTTGACGTTCCTATAGTAAGGTCAGCTCGAAATAAAATTCATGCATATTTTTTAAAACGTAACGGGATTTACAGATCTGGGGAAGGGAGCTTTGCTAAAATTTTGTTAAAATATAGGCTAAGAAATTAGACGGAAACCCATGATATTGGACTCATGACCCTAAAGAGGGTTCATAATTACGACTTACGCAACCCAGAAAATGTTCCACCAGCAGGTTCATAAAGTGAACAGCTGTGAGAAAACTGACAACTGTGATGATGTTTATCGCTTACTCGTGTGGCAGTCGTACAAAGCGTTTATTTCGATGATATCTCTTTGACTCAGTCGTTTTTCCTTATTACCAAACTCCATCGCCTCATTGTATATGTTGACAATGGTTGGTGACCCATTCTTTGTGAATGCCCTTCGATCGTAGTGCATAATCGATTCATAGTCGTAGTCCTTGCCAAGATCATCAATAGTCCTCCAACTATACTTGTCGAATTGTTCAGAAAAGCCTAGAAAAGCACGGAAGAATTCTCATCAGATTCTGAGATTCAAAATTAAATTAAAATGATTGAACTTCAGGAAGAAAAACACTCGGACAGGCAAACGGACGGAAAGAGAGACAGACAGAAAGAAGGCTAGACGGACAGATAGACAGACAGAAGCGCTGAAGAGTAAAAATAAGAAAGATCGCTAAAACTTTGAGGTTAGCAATATGCATTATGAACGGGTCTCGAGTAACAATGCCTCGTGAATCAGATACTTTAATACCAATGTTTAAAGAAAAATAAAATGAAATAAACAGCAACTACAGGAAAAAAAATTAATTCAAAACAACTTAAGATCCTGAAAGGAACATAAAGCTTTTAAGGAAATTTACATGAATGAAAATGCTTTCTTTGACGTAGAATAAACTTGACATTTACGACGACTGCTATTCCAAAACTATTTCTATTAATACCTTGAAGAATATTCTCCCAATAGATTTGTACAAATTTATCTCTATCTGGGCGGGATTGTTCGTGGAAAAAACCTGAAAGAAACCATACACATTAAAAAGGCTTAAATTCATCAATGACAAAGTTAGTGGAGTCCAAAAACGTAACTGTTTTAAATGGTCTGGAAAGGAAGATTCACACAGGAAAATATTGTCCCTCGAAAAAGCTGTTCTTCCAGCACACCTTCAGTTAACTTAGTAAGAGCAAAGGGAATAGATTCTCTTTAAGACCTTTACAACATTACTCAGTGATAAGTGTCATTGTCAGATTATTGCACATGCACCACCGAATGTAATACTTATGACGTTTTCCTCTTAAAATTCTACTTCTTCAAAGCTCAGCTCATCGGGTTTAGGTTGAGAGGACATTTTAAGAAGATACTACCGAGGATAGTTTTTCAAGTGATTGACCGCCAGTCAAGATGTGGCTCACTCTTGGGTGAAGTCAGGGAGAAAAGTACACCAGGCCTGACAAAATTCTATTTTTCTTTACCAATGGCATGCATCAACTCGTGTATTATGGTTCCCACAAAATCGCATCCCTCCCCCAGGGAAAGAGCCTGTGGGCCACTTGAATGATACCGCATACCAACCATACTGGAACACCTGATGGGGCAATCAACAGTAGTACTGGGTAAGTCTGCATGCTTATTCCAGTAAAGAGCTGAAGTACATTTCTACCTGTCTTTTTTCGGGTAAGAGTCTAAATTGTTTCATAATTAATTGGTCAATATCCGTGTCGGTCAATAAAGCAACGTGATAAGATAGGCGGATCAATAATAAATTTTGCTAATCACTAACCAATAAAGAAACTCTTAATAATAATAATAATAATAATAATAAAGGTATTCAAGAAAGGCATAAAAACTGTAAATTTAAAAACAAGCAAAATAGAAGGAAATACTTCAATGCTCGATGGCTGAATAAGTGAGGGCTCTATGTAATTTATTTCCTGATGCTACTCGTGTGATGTAACTTTTCTAAAGCCTGTGTTTCACAGTTCATTAATTAGCCACTTGTTATTGTTATCTCAGTATTTGACTTAACATAATCCGACCGAATACAATGACTTATGTCCCTGCAGCTATTCTTGAGATTTTCACTTTACATTAACGAAGGGCGTGTGGGGCGTTCGAATCATCAATTTCTTGGACAAAATTATGCATTTTCACTGCGGGTAGTGTTCTGTTACTTACCCATCTTTGTTGCCGAACAAGATGTAGTTGCGTTGTGTATAGTCGTATGGAACAAATCTTAAACATGTATATTTATGAAAGCTTTTGATCGCCTCATTAAGGTTTGGAATTATGTGACCTGAAGAGTAAAAAAAATAAAATAACAAATAACCTAGAAAACTATTCGCATCATTTATTTCTTATTTCCATCAGAATTCATAAACCATCATCTCTTCATTACGGTAGCTTTGTACTATAAAACGTCTTTACAGATATTTCATTCAATACGAATTCCTTTTAACTTTAGGATAATCAAGATTCCTAAATTTGAAGATTTCTCTACATGAACGGCCGAGGAAAATATTTCTTCCGAGTTACTTTGCTTTGAGCTAATTTGCATGTGGTTAAAAGCCTATTTTAAGAGGAAAGGTTTGACTTAAGGCTAAACGGTAAGGGAAAAAATCTACATGAAAAAAGTATTGGGGTTGCCAATAATTTTTCTCTGATTAATTAATTTTCACCTACTCATTTCACTGGGGACAAAATAAGGAATCATCCTTGTATTCCAAAGCCTCTTTTTTTCTCTTATTGCGTTCCTCTTGACCTTTTCCTTTTTGATACGAAGGATTTGTTCCAATTCTGGATCAAGTTGTATGTCGCCTTGGTATAGCTTGAGGTGTTTCTCTAAAAAAAGGAATCGTTTACAAAAATGATTTGAAGTTTAATTGATCCTCAGACTTACATGCTTACTGAAAATTTTGCTGACTGTTACAATTTGTAAGACAATCATGAAAAAAAATTCGAGCCAAATTACTTATCCAACCGGAGCTAATCTCGTTTTCCGAAGAATACACGACCTAGAGTACTTATATCTCCCAATAGGGTAGGACAAAATCAACTCTTTCGATCAATTACTTGAAAGGGGCCTTTTGAGACTTATGATTGTTTTTGCTGATAATAGTCCGTTTTTACAGAGATGTATTCAATAATTCTTGTACCCTGAATAAATTTTTTTTTTTTGGTTTACCTTCGTTGTTAGTTTCAATTTCCTTGAAGACACTCTCTCGTTTCATCCTTGCTGCCCGTCGTTTCAAGTGGGCCATGTTAACAGCGATAATACGCCCGTGCTCTGTCTCGTATTCTTCGAAGTAAAGATGCCATCATCAACAGTTTGATCATTTATTCAAATCCTATGCTATAAGCAGAGATTCCAAGATTCGTGAAAAATTCCTATTAAGGATTCAATGTGGAAGATTGATCGATGGAAATTTCGTGAGCGTTCAACTAGAGCGCTCTGTTTCATGCGGCTGATGGACAATCCTTAGTAAAGACACTTACAGAGGCGTGACGAGGTCTGTTCTGGCCTTTATTTTTATTTGCTAAATTCCTTTTAATTACGTGAAATCAAACTTTTACCTCCTTCCCTTTAATATTTAGAATTATGAAAGAGAAAGGAAAACACATTCTGCATGATAACCTTCACAATAATGGTCAGTTTGTTTGATCAGCTTTTCGTTTTACAATTCTTCTCATCGTTAGTGAAAATATATGATAAAGTATGGTTTACCTGTCAACTATTTTACCTTAGTTTATAAGAAGGAAATTTTTATCTTCATAAAAAAGATCTTCAAAGATTTCTAAATGTTCTAATTAATAGAAATGAACCCTAGGAACAATGTCTTTGAGAAATCACTTTAACGCCAATGAAAAGTTAACGCTCATGTATGTACTTGCAAAGCATAGCAAACGGAATTATTTACAGCAAAGGAAGCAAATAAAAAAACTGAGGTCTATGACTCTATAGACATGGGGAGTTGACGAACGGCAGGAATTTTACAGAGCATGTGAAATGTGCCTTGAAGAAGTAAATGAGAACAGTGTTCATCTGAACTGAACAGCACTGCGAAGCGCTGTGAAACGGTATAATGTAGGTACTTTTTACGCCTTTGCTCTGTATTGGCTGATAAAAAAGCATCCTTCTTGTCTGAAAATCATGTACTTCCATCGCATTTTACTCTAAAAATTTACGTCAATCAGATCTAGACCATTTTTATATAAGGTGAAACAAACTAAGGAGGAACAAATATGAGATCAGATTTATCTGCCGGCCCGAGATTTGGACGCAGCTGATATGTTTTGAAGAACCTAGGCTACTGGAAAAAAATAATGTTTTAATACTACCTCTGTTCGCGATTTCGTCGATATTTTCTGTCTCAGGTTTATCATCCTGCTTCAACGGATCTATCATTGATTGGAGAAGTTAAGATCATTGGTAAATGATATTGATTACTTAGATATGAACTTCGTGTATACTTACACCATTATTTGCAATCCATATAAAGATAAGTTTCCATGGTAAAACGTATTTCATAACCAAGCTGCATGCAAAATTCATAAAATTTGTTGAAAACGAATTTCCCTTGTTTGCTTTCAATTTTGTCAACATATCCTGACGTTGTCAAGTAAGAGACATTTCAATTTACCAACATCATTTACGGGAGAAAATTGCCAAACTAATGAATTAAATATGAAATTGCTAAGCTAAAACTCACGATGAAATGAAATTCAATCATTTCATGAACCTCTGATGGTCTAGGTCTTAGGAATACTAAGAAAAACTCTAGGCAATACTCTGCTAAATTTGCAGAGATTTTGATCTCCCATCGAGGTGATCCCCTCTGAAAGGATTAACTTTGCATCAGAAATCTCGATCTCTGAGATGGTAAGCGACTGGTTCTTCTCTTTTCAACAGCACGCTTGAAGACGAGAACTTCCGTCTTCCTTGAATAAGAAGAATTAGGCAAGTACTGAATGAAGACCATGTGATTGCGAGAGTAAAGCATACCCCTGCGAAACAAGCTTCGATACGCGCAAGATACCAAGGCTACTTATGCACAAAACCGCCCCTGATGGAGATTGTAATCAGAGAGGTCGTCCAGTTACATGTAAAAGTAATTAACCGTTGCAGCGTACCTTTTTCTCCATTTTCTTTCTTCAAGACAAAAGAATTAACCCAAGGAAGAATGAATAGGAGTACGATCGCCAACGTAGGTCTTTTTTCCATCTCGTCGATTCAAAGAAAAATGTGACTCGGTATCTCCTATTCAATCTTGCGACAAGTTTATAATGAGCCGTCGTTAATGAAACACCTAGATAATATCTTCATTTGAAAGGAGAGCGATGTAAACTTGGCAGTTTTATACGTAGAGGGATTAAATATTACAAAAGCTTATTTTTTTTATTGACAAATGTCTTTTTATTTGCAAATGGTATTGTTTATTCCCTTCAAAGTTTACAAATGGAAAATAAAACTCTTTTGTCGAAAGGTTATCATCATTGCTTTGATATATTTTCTAGACACACAAAAGCCTGCACGTTTTTCGACACTCTGAAAAAAATTCAAATATATCTTTTTAATCTTCTGGTTTCCACTCTTCAAATAGATTACCATACGGTTTCAAAGTTCTTAGCTGTGTTAATTACGTCTTTTCAAAAACAGATGTTTTCTTCAACAATTCTCGGAGGTCAAATTGTGTGTAAACACTAACCTTCTTCAAATGATGCATTTTATCAACTTAAACTAGCGTCTTTTTGTTTTTTTTTTTTGGTTGTGCAAACTTGTCTCTAGTACAACGAGGGTCTGTACATTTTCCTGACGGGGACTTCTTGTCGTTGGCTTCTTGTTCACGTCAAGACTGCTTCTACCTCATTACGTATGCTATACCAGAATGCTCACCCTTAGTAATGCATAAGCATTGGATTCGCTCACTTTTAAGGTAATTTTACCTATCTAAGAGACCAGCAATCAAATAAACAAACAAAAACGAAAAAAAAAACGTACGGAAAAATTTATCTTTTTAAATGGGAAAATCAAAAGCCTCTTCTCAGCCCTTGCAACTCGATCCTTGCAATAAATATGTATAACTTTTTGGCAGTATGCTCTTTACTATTGAGATGTCTCTCTTTCATGCGACTTTCCAGTTTAATATTTTCATGGCAATTTCCTCTCAGGAAGATTGAAAACATAAATGATGTAAACAAGAGCATTACCAAGATAATGTCGTCACAATATGTTTCTCGGGGATGTTTGAAACTTACGTCCAGAATTTCCGAAGCTATCGTCTGAGAGTTAATTCCAGGTACTTGCAATTGAGATCTAATACAAAACGCAGTCAGGTGTTGCCTCTTGCATCAAAGGCTTTACTATTTACTCAACTCAACCGAATGTGCATGATCACCCCAAAAAAGGAAAACCTATTCAATTTAACCTATAAACTGTTAGGATATAAAAGCTAAACTGCTTTTCATCCGTGAGAACACCTTGTGGATCGAGCACTGTTTATCAGTACCAGATTAGTTTTTAGCTAGATCTTTTTATGTCGGAAATCCCAGATGATGAAGCATTTCTTTTTATCTAAACAAGCTACTCTTTTAATGTGTTTTGTTTCTTCTGACCCATTTTGTGTAACTGCGTCAGAGCTAATGGCTGTTTTTACTTTCTTATTATTCTATCTTATTCGTGTTTGCTGCTAAGCTTAAAAGAATATTCTTGGCCAGTGACGATTATGAGATTGTTAACCGACTTGTAGAATATTTTGAAAAGGAAAAGTTAGTTTGCTCGTTCTTCTCGGGACTCTTTCACTCGATGACTCTTAATAAACAAGCAGAAACGCGGGCAGTGAACAATAAGTGAAGTGCCACCAAAACTAGCAACGGTCTTGTTGTTCATTTTCAAAATAATGTCAGTTTACAAACATTGCACCTTTGACAACCACCCATGGTGTATCAATTACTTCATTTTTTTCTGACTCGTGAATACCTGGAAGACAAAAACCGATTTTTGAAGCGCATTTTTTTCCTTTTTCAAAGCAGAGCAGCTCGACGTTCAACTATATTTCATGAATAAACGAGCCCCAGGAGTCTTAATTGAATGTAGACCATGAATGTTAGTTCAGAGTGCTTTTAAAGACTGCACTATTTCTACAGTCCCCATAACATGTAATTTTAAATCGGAATGTTTGTCCGGCCAAGCAGTCCCGTGGGAGTGTGACTGGGGGTCGTTACTGTGTGTAATCTTGAAATTTCTCCCGCTGACCAAGCAAAAGGCTGTGAGATCATGTCAGCATTTCTCATTAGTACTAGTTGTTGCCCCTATGCCAACATGCTGGTCATACCACCGATGGCCGGTCTCAGACATCCAGTTAATGACGTCATTATTGGAAAATCGGACAATGAGAGTCCATCCTTCACCGATTTGTGTTATATCACAGTAAACCTGATGTGAAATATAAAAATACTCAGCGACTTAGGAGCCTTAGTGATTTTGTATATTAGGTTATTTTGGTGAAAACGGAAGTTAACGTGCGAAGTTAAGCTCAGTAACTTGATCAAGTAGGTTATTTGGTTACTCGTATTCATTCTGGAGCCAAAAATGTACAATGCGATTATAGTTAGTTTTTCATTATTAGAACAATATGTTCCATATGTATGGCATGGTGTATCGTTGAATCAACATGTCGTTGAGCCGTGGAACTCTCGATTAAAATATTGCATATTTACTCATTTAATGATGTAAAGCACCTTTCTTTTTATGAATGGGGAACAAAATAGTATTTTGGCCATTATCATCGACTACACTTTGCATTACTTTTGCATCCTTCTCTAAGTTAAACCTTACCGGAAATGTCGAAATGACCTAATTGTAGACATAGTGTATCACATAAGTTTGCCCAGAGGAAGCACGCTGGATTTGTTCACAGCTGCTAGATACTAAATTGTAAAATTAAATGGATGTAGATAAAGACGGTAGTGCTCCCCCACACCATTGGGCATTTTTTCATCGGTTCTGGAGATTAGTAGATATTCAAATCACAATAGAGTTATAAGGAGATCAACAGCAACGTAATTGAATATAATAGCTAATTAATAGCAGGGAGTTGCTTCAATTTCATACGGGACTATCCATCTCCTCGTTGACCTTTTTGTAAAAAAACCTTTTTTGATCTCAACTCTTTGGAGTAAATAGTTATTCTAGGCCCAAGCATGCTGAGTGTGTTTCAAGATCGATAGAGGAGTAAAGGAAGGGAGGAAAGGATAGGGAAGAGCCGGGAATTCCAGTTTGAATTCAATTAGCCACACAAATATGTGAACGTCTCTGGAATGAACACAGTGCGCACCTGCCATAGTATAAGATCCAGTTGCCCATAAAAAAACACAATTTTTAGACCGAAATCATCAAGTTTTCAAAATTGGCTGAGAACCGAACAATTATTCTTTAATCGACCAGCTGATGTGAAAAAGCATAAATGGGTACAGATCCTTTTACTTTTGCAATTTTTTCATCTTCAATGAATCCAGTTTTACATGAACAGCTGTAAGAGCTGTAAGTATGTTGGCAATTAGCGTTGACATCACAAACTTGGATTGGACACTGCACTCTTCAATATCTGTAGGTAAACAAGTAAACAAATATTGTAAAATTGACCGGACAACCTTTTCGAATATATTAAAGTTCACACGGCAACCAGGTGGACAATCAGACATAGTTTGATGCTACTCTGGTTTGCAGATTTAATGAATGTAACTGAAGAAGTTGCAATTCATAGACCCAACGTTTCGACACTCCTGTCTAGTGCCTGCTGTTTTTGTTTTTTTCTGCCTGCTGTGCTTAGTGTTTTTGTTATAGACGAAGATACAGATTTCTTTGCTCATGAAGGGATGAATTAGCCCTATAATTTTTTTAGCATAGGTTTGTAGTTTTCTAATAGATATGATTAAAAGCCGCCGGCGCAAATCTTATCTGATGGATACTTATTATTGTATTATTATCAATATTATCATTGTTATCATTAATAAAAAAAACTTTATTATGACCTGCCTTCACCCCTGAAACCTTTGACTGCCTTTCCCCTGGGGCAACTAACGTGTCTTTACGTAGCCGTCATTTACCGGTAGTTCTATGCCTAATTCATGGGAAGGGTTCTTTAATTGAACCACACCTAATGATCGGACCGAGGGTAGAAAACAGACTCAGACGCTGACATAGGGCTCTGGTATCATGAATCATGATTATCTGAATTGGTGCAAAAAAAAAAACAAACAAACAAAAAAAAAACACACAAACAAACAAAATAGAAATGCAGTTCAAACACTCTGATTACTAATATTATTACGGTGTTTAGAAATTGCTTCGGCGAAGTTATTAATGTTACAAGCCGCATTAAACCATCTCTGCGGG